CCTTTTCCGTATCACTATCAAAGAATGACTAAGAAACAAAAGAAGAAGAAAATAGTCTGGTTTGTTCTTATTTTAATTATAGGTTATTGTATGTTTAGTCATTTGTCTTAAATTTAATGTCTGAAGGACATGTCAGTTTTCTTGAACGAAGAAGAGAAAAATGCTAAGAATTTAAAACCGGTCGATCACCGGCCGGTTTGAAAATATTTCTAGACCGGCAAAAGATCGGTGGAGACCGGCCGGTCTAAACTTTTACACCGGACCGGTTCCAACTCTGCAACAAAGGGCTCTCTATAAGGAGGGTCACCTATTAGAAAAATGCTTATATCTCTTGAATGAAACAACCGTTTGAGCTGAAACTTTCAGACTATTCCTGGATTTGGGCACTCTGATTGTAAAGTAAGTTAATCTCATGATAAATGTACTTTTTTTACCAAAAAGTAAAGGCTTTCTCACAAAATAATACCAACAATATGTTAGGAATATCGAGTAAATCTGAGAATAACTGATGGATCTCTGAATAGCACTGAACTAAGCTCTTTCAACCACTGTGTACTTGAGAAATCTGAATTTCATCGATGTGGATGGAAGCCCCATGGTTACAAAACATATATTGCGCTTGTCCTGCTCGTCACAAATGGTTTATGTTTCTCATAAAGAGACCTTTTTTGGTAAAAGCTGTTTCGTAGGTATATTTTTGATGGTTAAGAGTATGCAATCGGAACTCGGTGTCTGTCATGACTAATAACATCTAAATCTTATTTGAAGTTGGTCTTACACGTTTGTATATTGTATTAAACACTGTATAGTCAGTCATCTTTCTTTTGTGTCAAATTTCTGAATCATCTTTTCCTGTTGTATAAGTTGAAAAAGAAGCACATGGTCTATGTTTTGAAAGTAGTGTACTAGACGATGCACGTTGTGAGATGAACGTTTAAATAGACTGAATTACGACTGTCGAGTTTAAGAAAAGAAAAAAAGGTAAATGATTTAATCATCAAGAGTTTTTTAATTCAACCTTCAATTCAATCTTTGTTTTATTAGTAGAATGATCTGTTAAACAAAAGTGTTCGTGATATCGTTTTCGTTCAGTTGGAATTCGAAGAAAACTGTTGTAGGTCTCTAAACCATGTGGTTCAGTGGTTGATACAAAAATGAGGGATCTGGTTACGTGGATGCAGTAGATGGAAAGCATTATTTTGTGTTATATGTATCGAAGTCCGCTTATCTTAGATGCGTTATATCATATACGCTTGTTCACTGGTTGAGACGGGAGTGAGTTTTACTCCGTAGTGAATACAGTTGTCCAGTGAGCCCCTAAGAATTCCGAAACTTTAAACAGAATAAGTATGATTCTTTTCTTCTTATACATGATATATTTACCATTGAGAGATGCCCACATATTAAAATTAAAAAAAGCTTTTTATTGCGGAATAATTAGAACAAAGATGTTGATGACATGTGTAGTATTCCGTTAGACATTTCTTTTGTGACGGCTGTTGCTTTCCACTGTTTGCCATACCAGCTAGCATATAAGATTAAAATCACAGGTTTTGTTTTGTTTAGAGTTAAACAAAATGTGTCAAATCTGGTTTTTTAGTAGGTGTTATTCATTTTGAACATATCCTTATAGAAATTATTCTGGTCTATGGCTTCAGCAAGCAAAGTATTTTCAACACTCACCCTATTCCTGTTGGCGATGTCGCCTGCGTGCAGGAAGTTGTTGCTTTAACAAACAGGAGACGCCTGCTAAGGTGTGTATAAGCAGCATAAAACAAGTTTCTTTACAATTTCTGATGTAAGAAATCATGGTTTTACTTACTTTTAGTCTTCACGTTCTTCTCGTAAAGAAAATACAGTGATCGAACCACAGTATGGATTTCGTAATTACTTTCCTGTAAAACTGCTTTTTGATGTCGACACACCACGTCCTCATTTTATTATTGTACAACAAGATTCTTATCGAACACAATATGCTACCGTTGAAGAATTGAAAGCAGCATTTAGATTAGTTACACGGTTTTTAGCTCACAATCCTGCTTATGATCACTTTACAATTTTAAGTTTTCATCGTGGAATTTGGTATCAACAAAATCAACAAGGATTTCATGCTCATTTATGTGTATCATATGAACCATACTGAGATGAAGCACGAATAAAGGTTCGTATTTGTGTGGAGTTTGTTAAAAAGATTAGAAGAAGAGGGAAGAATACCTTGTCTTGCGGCTACCGTTTCCCATATAGAGTGTTGCCGACTTACAGCTTCAATAGCTTGATATCTATCTGCAGCTGACAAACTTCTGGTATGATCATCCATTTCGTTACTAGTCACCAACCACAGCTCTGCACTTATCTACGCGTCTAATCTTCAAGCGACTTACGGCGTCTTATTTTAAGATCGATAAATGTATCTGTCTTATTTTATCTGCCGATAGGCTCATGAGACTATTGATCTTTGGCCAGAGGAACCGATACAAGCCGATAATTATGTTTACTGATTGATGTATCATTGGTCAGGCCAGAGAGGTTGGAATTTTTCAAATGCATATGAACATGCTATGGTGAAACAGTATGAAGAACGTAAATCTGATTTTGTTAAATATAAAAAGCAATGTATTGAAGATGGAAAAAATGGTGAATTAACTGATGATTTTGTAACCAATGTTCGATTAAAAATGTTAAAAACAACTGATTATGGTCTTATTTGTTGTTGTCCCACTCCACGTATCGGTGTCTTTCTAAAATCAAAAACAACAAAACCAAGTTTACATCATTTCTATAGTTTTCTATCAAAAATGTATGAACAAGCCGAAAGTCAATTGAAATGTTGGAATAACCAGTATGAGCAATTTGGTTGTCATTTATGGTTATTTGTCAGTGGTCAGAAACAATCAGCAAAAGTTACTGAACAGATCTATCGTACGTACGTTTTTATGCTAATCGCACTCATTTTTGGCCATTCTAGTCTAAAATGCTATTTTTAATATTCTAATATTTCCTATACCTCGAATAAGTAAAAATAAGGTTCCCATTGACATTCATCTTGCGAATAGTACTAAAAGTGATTTGGATAATGATAACCAACAACAACAAAACTTCTCTGCAATATTTCATTCTCCATCATCGACATCGATCATTCTTGATCATCAGAAACAATGGACATGTCCACTACTTGACAGTGGCCAAGCAAGTTTGCATCCGACATTAGAAAAAAGTACGAAAAATAGCAATAGTATTAGTACGATTGATTCGAATAATTATCATGATGTTAGTTTGAGAAAGACGGTTGCCGCACTTAGTTCGAGAAAAACGATGAACAATAATAATAATAATACTGATTTAATAAATACGTCAACATATTTGCCGTATGATTCGATCGATTATCAGTTAGATAAAGCGCTCGTTGATACTAATAAGGGAGAGTATATAGCATTTGAATCGATGAGAAATAATTTACCGAATAAATAAGGTGACGTCATATAAATTGATGGTATCAGTGTGGAACAGTGTTTTATTGTTTTTTTTAAACAGAATTTTGTATTTTTGCTCTTCTCTTGAATAAAATTATATATATGTATTTAGTACATTAACGGATTGGGCAGAAAAAATGATGCCACTTTGCAATTCATCCTTTGGATAATCATATCAACTCACTCCAATGCTTCGTTTTGAGCTTAAAAGACGCAGAATTTTTTCTAGTTTCCTAGTGCTGTGTTTAGATTAAGATGTACCCTTATCGTCTTTTCGCTCTGTACTCAAATGAAGTCTCAAAAATCTCAACTGCTCACCACTTCACTAGAAAAAAAATGATTTATATTTTCATAGAAGTTTTGCTCGCGCGATTTCAAACACGGTACTACAAACTACAATAAATTCTTAATTCTTGAAGCACAAAACGATATTTTTCGACAAAGTTTTAGAAACAGCCTACAACACAATTGGGTCATTATTTGTGTTTGGCACCATTTCCTCCAAAGGAAGATATCTCAACTCTGTCATCTCTTACCAGAACGACGTAACCCATAGAAAGAAGTGTATTTTGTAGAGCTTGAAATTCTGTATTTTTTGATATAAAAACAATAATTTTCAGGCGTTAGAACAAATTAATATATGTAAATTAACGATGACAACAGAATTAAAGAATTGACAATAAACTAGATCGTTGAAAATTCTTATGAATAATATATTCAAGGACACTTAGCAAAGTGACATGACAACGTTAACCAATTATCAGCGCAAACAATCATATTATCGTTTATTAAAAGTACATAGGAAGGAGCACAAGAAGGATACGCGGACGGAATGTTTGTAGAGATACAAACTACTGAAGGAGAGTGATATTCAGTCACGGTTGCAGGGAATTAGTCTTCCAGATCCAACAGTATCTTGTCATACGTAAGACAGTATGGCTTGATAGTTACGTTGTTCAACTTGCACTTCAAAGCTGGTATGTTAAAGCCTAGGCTTCAACATCTTGGGCAAGTTCTTATGTCTTTGTGTCTCGAATCATCCGTTCGACAGCGTACTTACAACGTTGGGATGCACAATACAGTTTCTCCAGGTGGTCTTTTGAACGAGCGATTTTGATATAGAAAACATCCGTTAAAACCAGTTTTTCTCTAAAACGACAAAAAGCGCACTTTTCTTTGATATGTGTTTAATGGAAAAATACACTTGAGCGAGATTGAAGAAAACAGGTAATGAAACGTCTCCACAAATTCCTCTCTTTTACCTCAAACACAAAAATGCATTTCTTACCATTCTTTTTTATAAAAAATAAAAATTTCGCGTTTTGATGAGGCAAGCTACGTAAAAAATTGAACGGGCGAACTGACTAGTCTTCTTTCCTAGTCCGGACGACTGTCCCGACTAGTCTTAACGAGTCCATGGTTGCATGGCCTTGAGTTATTATGAAAAGGCACTGGAACTAGAGTTGAAAACACTGGGAGCGAACCATCCATCTGTGGCTACGACATACAACAATGTTGGAATGGTTTACTATCATATGGGTGAGTACTCAAAGGCCTTGAGTTATTATGGAGCGAACCATCCATCTGTGGCTACGACATACAACAATGTTGGAATGGTTTACTATCATATGGGTGAGTACTCAAAGGCCTTGAG